TCCGTCTTAATGTCACGTTTGATTACTCGCCGATTTAATTCGCCGTTTATTGGGATGCTGCTTATCATTGCCAAATATATGCATTATTGTTCATCTATTTACAATTCATTCGAGTCCTGCGTGCAAATTGTTCTATATATTCCTGTTTACAGTGTACCTGATCGTACCGACTTTCGACGGTACTTAATTAAATGACAGCTTAATAAGCACGCGTAGGACTGAATTCGTAGCTTTTTCAAATATCGCCCATTTCGAAATTATCGTGCTACATTATTAATAAGTGCGGCGAGATGGAAAACGTGGTAATGTTAATTGTTAATCAGCATCCCCCATATTCAAAACACTTCTTTTTGCGATTGCACATGTTTAATTTGGTAATAATTGATTACCTGGTGAAATAACTGGGGGAATATACGAAAAGGATATGTTGTTAAGAAGTGCAAAAAACGGTTGTAAATGGCGAACGTGCGCCACTATCGGTGTCGTACTTTTTACGATTTGATAACGGTATCGCGTTGAAACTCGAACGTGAACACCTGCTTTCGTACAATGATTATACCGCTGAAATCATTACTAGTTTACGATCGTATTTCGCCCATTCGATAATTTTGTAATTGTCGCTTGGAGGAATAACGAACATAAATTATTCGCCGGTGATTGAAAGATATCCACATACCGTGCGTCCATAGTGACCTTTTGACAAAGAACAAATGTCGCCCGAAATCAGGGATCGTCCTACGCGATTCCTGCGTGGCTGTAAAATGTTTCGCGAACGAGCTGGACAAGACTGCTCGGGGAATTAAGGTTGCGCTGTTTTCAAAAATGAGATCATGTCCCGTGCAACCAGATTAACAAGGATGAGTGGTCGACACTCGGCATCGTGCCATCCGTAAATGAAGACGGATGCGAGTTAAGGTTGTCCACGTACGACGTGTTGTTTAATAATTAATATCATCCTCAAGGCCGAAGTATCGCGAATATCGTAATCGTGTTATCGCGTTTGTTCATATTTGTCTTCGTTTACGCGACTCGGAAGCATTCTTTAACGGCCGTGTTGTCCCTTGACAAACGTCGCTTTCTAATTAAGCTGACAATACATGGTGTTCTTGGCACAGCCAGACGATCCGCATTCCGTATTTCGCTATTTCAATCATATTTAGGATAACGCACACACGGAACTTCTCATCGAAATCAATCAACTACGTTTCAGTCATCTTCTACCGTTCGTGAAATTAAGACCTGCTCTTTTGATTTACCATACGGAATTATTGACACAAATATCACTTGAAAAGGACCACGAACCATGGTCGAAACGTTGTGAGTTTAAACATAAAAGTTTGCCAAATATGGTCGAGCAATATTCTGAACTTTTTCATCTACGTTTTCTTCAAATTTATTTTGCGAAGTCGACAGTCGTTGTAACACGATATCACCGATAAAAAAGTAATGCGTTGAACGTTTTTGTCATACTGTTGTTAGAGGAGCCAGGATTTTCTTAGGTGAAAAGATGGTCCCCCACGTACCAAGTATCACATGTAATCGAATCGATTTCCGAGTTACGTGAACCGAGGCTTATTAAACGCGTAGCAATCCATTTGCATAATTTCCACAATTACGATGGCCACCAATTAACTAAAAACGACCGTGTGCCACATTATTACCATGCCTACCCCGTCGTCAGCGCTGCCTACTCCCGCCGAGTGGGCTCTTTGATAAATTCTGTGTTAATACGCGGATATCAAGTAATATATATGTGTTTCCATATTCTATATAGATGCAATCACGAAACATGAATGAACGCCCGTCGTTTTCAGATATTTACAATTTTCCCAGCTTATTTAATAACAAGTGCAGAACGCGAGTAGATTACTGCAAAATTGTTATAATAATTTATCAAGCGCACGTCGATAGAACGTTGTTAGAAATATTTCAAGTTGATGGACGAGCAGTCAAAAGGAGTAAATCCTCGCCGAAAAAGACGAGAGGAGTTTTCTGCATCGGCTACCCTATCGCAACTCTCTCTTCAACTTATTAAGGATATCTCTCTCTCTCTCTCTCTCTCTCTCTCTCTCTCTCTCTCTCTCTCTCTCTCTCTCTCTCTCTCTTCTCTCTCTCTCTTTCTTTCTTTTTCTTTCTCTCTTTCTCTATGAAAATTTAATATTTTAAATATTGAACACGCTTCTCGCGTCGCGTGTTATTTTCCCTATCATACTGAGCGGTAGAGGTAACATACCCCAAGAGGAAACGTACCCCCGGAAGCGACGTTAAGAATTATTTCGCTTATCAGGATAGCATTCGCGCAAAACTGTTATTGTACAATGAAACTTCTCGCGCGATAACAATCAAGCGAGGACTTTCAAATATGCCTCGTATTATCCCCCTATACGAAGCCTACGTGGAGATATACAATGCTATTCATTGATTACAATCGGCTCAAATGGCAAGCGATCAGAATTAGATGTAACTCGCGTTTAATCAAAGTTTCTTTAATGAGGTAATTGTAGCTTTAAGAAAAAGGAACTTCGGCTGCCTTCGCCGAATGCAATAGAAAGAATTCTTTACATCTTTCTCTGTAAAATTTATAAAACACACAGCGCATAAAAATATTTAAAAAACAAAAGCAGGCACCGTATATTGAATTAAAAATTAAGATCTGTATATGGGAAACAGCTGATCTGAAAATACAAACGAAAGAAGAATAGCTATCGGTAGGTAACGAGTGAAAGTACATCTTTTGCTTCACAGTAAAATAAGAGAAGGCAGAAATTTGTAGAAATTTTAGAGGCCTAAATTTTCTATTTACATACGCGATTGGTAATGACTTAATTGCCAGTGTACCTGTGCATATTCGCGTACGGTTTTGAATGAGTTCACAGACAGGTTCTTCGGAAAGAAAACGTTGCGGGGGATGCCTTATTTTTTGCTTTGTACTTATTAAACATTTATTTATATACACTGAACCGGCGCTTCTTATTATGAAATGATTTGAGAAAATAAAATTTACGCAAAGTGCGATCATCAAAGTCTTTTCACTACGCCTCGAAAAGTTTTTATTTCAAGCTACTTAAAGGCAAAGATAGAGTAGAAAATATCTTCGCGTATTGTATCAACAGACATTGATTCGTAGATGAGAAAAAACACTCGCGCTCGAGATGTACCATTGTAAGATTCGGACAAGTTTCCCGAGCAAGAAGGAGAGAGAGAGAGAGAGAGAGAAAGAGAGGAATTAATGCCAATCGCGAGATGCAACCTATTTATTCATTGATCGACTATAAACGGGTATCGGGAAATAATCTCGGTGATGTTTATGTTGGAGTTTCAAGCGGGTTTCCGAGGAACGAGAGAAATTCATTCTCATATTCTGAAAACGCTCTTACGAGACGCGTCTTTACGACATGCGCTACGTGATCGGTTCAACTTCGTTCAATCATGTCGAGGACAGCAACGGTGAAGGTGTATTAAAATAAATAACCGGTAATACGGAATTGCCCCTGTGGAAAAACACTTTTTATCCCGTCACGCCGCCCTTTCTTTCTTTTTATTAGAGTCCATTTGTAAATTACTCTCTATTAATATATTTTTAACCGTGGAAGTTTCCTTGGAAAGTCTAGAAAGAGTGAAAATAGTATAAAATAAAGTGTATCTTAAAAAACACGACACTCTCTTATATTCTGTAATATAAGAATTTTATCTGTTTAGATGGGAAAGTTTTGAAAACTGGTCCCTTCCGCATATTTTGCGGGACCAGGGAGAGTCGGGCTTGAATTCGCGAAGCCACAATGCAGAGTTTTATGAATTTTTGCAACTACTGGACATCTTCCCAACATGGAGGAAATGTCGGATATTACTTGAAACTTGTTATATAAATTTAAACGCTTGTTTAAACGCTATAAAATGACAGCTATAAATAAATGCTTGCGTGTTGAAGATTCTGTTGCAAGAGAGTTCTCCGTTATAAAAGAGGCCCCACGTCACAGTCGTATAAATACGGATTATTTCGCCGAGTAGAACCAAGTTGGATCTAAGTTGCAATCAAACAATTTTCTGATCTGATGGCGAACTTTACGCAACGATCAAGGTCTATCGGCTGCTCTGTTACGCAACGCCGCCGGCGAGCGTTTACCGCTAAACGCGGCCGAACGCGATATCGTTGATTATCCGATATCGCGCAAATATTAGACCGATTTACGCTGGCATTGGATAAACGAGATTCAAAATTAGACCGGCTTTGTGCGCGGCACGCCTTCCAAATTTATTCGACAACTTCGCCCCCGACCTTTCCCCTTTGCCGGCGCGGACGCGAGCGGTAAATCGAGTAATGTCCAGGAAGCGTGGGCAAACCTTTGCGGCCCTCAACGGAGAGAATATCTCCGGTGAAATAATAATACGACGCTGCAAATTGGCCGGTGGCGCGAATGGCGGCGTTTCTCTCGCGTCGTTTTCGCCATCGGCAAATAAATAGCGGCGCGAATATCGATTTCGCCGTCGTCGCGGAAGCTAGAGCAGCATATTTGACCGTGGTGCCAAACGAAGTGACCTTTCGCCGCGCTCCGTCACTCGTTAGGACGAGTCCTATTTCTTTGCTCCCTCATAAAGATGCCTTTCCGTCTGGCGTCGCGTAAAAATCAGCTGTATTTCATCGGGGAACGATCCGCCGCGGCCACGGAGGGAACGGGTCCTCTCCTACGCGCCGTCGATGTCAACTTGGCCGTGTCGTTCCAGTTCAAATCGGCTTAGCGTTGATTGCTTCACTTTGCGCTACAAACTCATTACGAGTTCATTAAAATTTTGTCGATAACTTGGCACGAATCATTCTTCTGCCCTGGCACTCTTGATTATCCTTACGTAGCAACGCGGACACCCTGACCTTTTGAGCGGATAATTAATAACTTGGGGAGTTGTTAATAAATGGAAGGGCTATATGTGCGATTCGGAGCGGGGCGCGAGCACCCGCGAAAAACTGATAATTCACGCAGGGCGTAATCTTCATTCTTTTTCAGACGTTTGTGCAGAAGTCCCTGATTCTCTTCGCCGTTCTCCTCTGCTATTATCAGTCCTGTGTCAGCGCAGCAGACTGCGAGTAAGTGTCACATTTACGAGCTTCTTTCTTTTCCGCGTGTCGCCGAAAGATAGACGGTACCGCGCAGGATGTAAACGGCGGGGATCACTGTTACAGGCAAGAACCCTACCACCCGTCATGCCGAGGTTCACAAGTGAGGAAGCGCCTGATGCCCTTGCCTGTTATGCGCGCTCTGAATTGCGAAGATGGAGACTGCAGGTTGCCCAGGATGAAATTTTTGATCGCGATTCTCGACGACCGCGACGTAAGTAGAAGCTTTTGTTATTCGGACTGACGAAGCTAGAACCTTCATAAATGAGAGAGAAAGAGAGAGAGGGGCGGACCAATAACGAGAAAAAATGGGCTTTGAGAGCCAAACGTGAATAGTTGCGCGTGACTTAACATTATGTAAGATTTGTAACGTTATGTAACGTAGTATTACATAATCGTATTTGAGCCTCAAAGTTCAATTATCCCTGTTGTTCATAATATCGCGAGTTAACTAATTATTAATTCAATGTCATTTCTCTCTGATTGGATGGATTCGGTTCTTCTCATTTTCCAATATCTCTGCTAAAAATATAACTAACCCGATGTTTTAAAGTCAGCTTTTTACAAAAATACTTTTACAAAAATACGGCGAGAAAATTAAAATTTGTTGAATATTAAAGAGTTTATTAATAATTAAAGGGCGTTATATATAAAATCAAATAGCTATTCGTCTCCCTCCCTCTCTCTCTTTTCCCCCTCGCCTTCGTTCCTCAATTGAAGATTATTTAGGATTTGGGTTTCCCAGTTATTTCAGAAATTTCGATAAATTTTAATAAGAATGAAAGCTCATACCCAGTACGCTCAAAGAAAGTGTGGAAATAAAAGATTGACTGACGGAAGACAGATACGCTTTAATTAGGATAGAATGGATTGATGGAACGTCTTCGTTTGTTTTAGACTCCCTACAGGAACAATGAAGTTCATCCTTCCGACGCCAACTCCATCCACACGCGCAGAGAGAAGGGCAAGATGCGGATGGAGGACTCGTATATGGACGACTACTGATTCGACGATCACTGAATTATGTCGACGCGATTCGCACAGGGATGACTGACCGATCGACAACTTTTCAGACATACTACTCGTCCGTTCGATTACTTTTTATTATATTATCCGGCTTGATTCCACCGTGTTCTCCCTGATACATCGTCTCTTCTCTTGTTTCCCTTATTTCCTTGCAAATTTGGCAGCGATTAAGTACGTGCGTGCACGCATGTTGTTAGCACTCTGACTTTTCGATAATAAACACTTGAATCGCACAACGGAAATGGCCAATTTACTGTCTCGATCTTGTAGAAAAGTATTTATAACATTCGCACGCGAAACAATTATAACGCCCTTCGCGTTTTAACCCTTTACGCATCCTGTTACATTCTTAAATGTGGCGTAGAAAGATGAACGCTTAAAAATAGTATCGGACGTTTTGATTCGATCGATTTTATGGGAATTAATTAGGCGGGGAGTTCGCACCAGTTGTCACTTAATCCCTGCTCTTTTACCGGTATATTTCAGCTCGCCGTACATCAATAATTTCGAGACCGAGCGTGATTAAATTACCGAGCGTTATTAAATTTCAAACTATCCTCCCGATTGTTATTTCGCCAACATTTAATTCGCGCCCAGGAAGGATCGAAGCCCGTAGTTAATTGACCCTAGACTCGTATGCGCATCCGTGCGCAAGGCGTGCATAATAAGATATTTCGCATGCGATCGGCTACAATCGAGTTATTGTACATAAAAAGATGTAAAACGATATAATTATATATACGTTGTTCCAAATTGTGTTTCGATTACATTTCAAATAAAGTATATGTACATACTTGATAAAAAAAAGAGAGAGAGAGAGAGAGAAAAGAAACGAAGGAGGCTTGTTATGCGTCTATACTTTCGGCAGCTGAACGTGTATTAATTGCATCGCACACAACACCCAATAAACTTCGATCACGGCGTCAATATATTTATTGCTGTGGAAATTGTGAGTCTTTTTGGAGAAACGGAGCCTGCGATGTTATTGCGTCGCCGTTACTGACGACGACCATTGTTTCTGCGCGTATTATTTTTATCTTGTTTACGCTTGTGATAATTTGAGGATTAATCAGACAAGAGGCGGTTCTTTCGCAGTATTTTATGAAAAACGATTGCTATTAGCCACACCTTTTACAGATTACTAGTATTACTATATTACCTTTACCGGCTTCTTTATACATATAAAATAATTGCGTTACGTTACGATCGCGTTATTTTGTAATATGTACAACATTATAAAAGAGCAATTTACATTATCTAGTGATACTCGCTAGAAAATTATTTAAACATTCGTTTCTAGTTGTACAAGATTTTTCCGCGTTTACGTCGAATAATCATTACGATACGTAAAAATAAACTTTGCATTATATTATAAATGAAATAATGTCTCTCGTTTAGATTCGACTTGAAATGTTGCCTGATGAAAAATAAAAGAATTGTTAGATGACTTTAGGCTGGCAGATGGTTTCTTTCTATAAGTCCGACGTTTCGACCACACGGGTTGTGGTCCTTCTCAAGGAATTCAACAATCTACAAAAACTGATCTTCGTAGGAAACACCATTTTCCAGTCACGGTGTGTAATTAACAACGAAAGACGTCGGGTTTTAATAAAGAAACCATCTGCCAGCCTAAAGTCGTCTAACAATTCTTTTTATCATTAATCAATTGCTGGCGATTCATATTCTTTCATTGTTAATACTTTTTATTTGCAATATTTTTAGTATTTTTTTGAATAAAGTCGCCACTCACACGAATAAATTTTTCAAAGTTTCGAAGTACAAATGTTGAAACTTTTGAAGGAAATTACCAGTCCTACTAAAATAATTTTTACAAGAAATGCAAAAGGAGAAATTGCGTTTATCGACGATGCACGCGCGACTTTCCATCACGAGCTTCACGTTTCACATGTAAGATGTCGGATCGAGAGATGGCGTCCTAACCTCAAAATTCTACCATGAGGGACGGTAAAAGAGTTATATCGTAAAATCGTGCGGATACACGTTGAAGGCACCTTGAAATAAATTCCAGCAACCGGTGGAATGCAAGTAAAAGAAACAAAAGGGGAAAGAGAATCTATCTCTCGAAATTTGTGGCGATCGAATGAAGGGCGAGTCCCTCTCGGCAAACGCGCCGAAACCGCGGTGAGAGTCCACGGTGAGTAACGTCGTCCCCCGCGATGAGCGTGCTCGTGCGGGGATTGGGTCGCCTGCGGGGCGCGTACCCGGCGCTGGCGAGGTTAGGTAGCGACAGCGGCAACCGGGTGGTCGGCGCGCTACCGCAGCGTCGGCGCAGCGCGCCGAGTGCGGTGCGCGTCGAGCCGGGAAAGGCCCAGGAGGGGCTCGCGGTGCCCGTCCGCCCCGCCGACGAGGACAGCGCCGATGACAGCCCGAAGGGAAAGATAGCGGAGAACACGTACGCCCACAATCTCTTCCTGAACTCGCTCAAGTACGCGAATATCGTGATGCGGCCGAAGACCACGCACGCTTACGTTTTAAACGACGAGGCGCTAGAGATCTTGAATCGAGATTGGAGCTCGATGACGAGCGCCGAGACAACGTCAGCCGTCAAGAGGCTGTCCTATAACTTGTGCAACAATAACAGCAGGTTCGAGCCGTTGAAATACACCAAGACATTCAACGGATTGAATGTGCAAGAGCTGACCGACGATGATCTGATGACGACGATGCAGCATCTGGCACCGTTCAGTAGTCATCTGGGCGCGTACGATTTTTACACCGATCTCTGCTCGCAGATAGACAGAGAATGCATGACACGTTTCCTGCGGTTACCTACGGAGAAGATGTTGTATCTCTGCGACGTGATATACCAGATGTTACCCAGAAAAAGCATTAATCAATACTATTCTCATTACATATGGTATTCCATCAGGCATCTAGGTAATAAACCTCAGAAGCTCTCTCCTCAACAACTGGTCCAGATTCTCTTCTTTCTAAATCTACACCGGAAGCCGCCTATAAACATGTACGAGTTCGAATTCCGATTGGAGCAGTGCTTCGAGGATTTATCGATCAACGAGGTAGCTGTAGCGTCGTTGGGTTTCTTCAAGACTCGCACGAAAATCAGGAGCAATGTCTTCCTGAGTCGTATCATCCGGAGGACTATAAACGAGATAGACTTGCTGGATTCCGTAAGCATTGCAGCCCTCATAAAAATAATACGGTAAGATAAACGCAATACGCCGTGTATTTTGTCGATTTGCGAATGTCCAGTCTATATTCACGTTTCCCTTCCAGATTCAGCACAACGCTTGCGGAGATCAACGAATGTGTAGAGTTGATTAAAGTGATAACGCCATACGTGCCGAACTACACGTTGATGACTGTGACTCACATTGCGCAAGCGTGTGGGAGGCTCAGCATATACGACAAAGAGCTCATGGACGTAATAATCGAAAAGTAAATTTTACAGCGATTACTCTTGCATTCGCTACTGCCGTCCACATTTATGACAAGTGGCATTTACGGTCGATACGATTTCAGGTTCAATAGGGAATTGAAGTTTGCGAGGATAAAGGACATCGAAAGATTCCTTTACACTTTTTCTATTTTTAATATCGACTCGAGCCACAACATATACCAGAACGTAATCGAGGAATTGAGGAACACTTGGTACACCACTCGAGCGGGCGAGATAGCAAAGTAACTATTATCCGAACATGTTCAAGTTAAAAGTACAAATCATATTAGTTTTCTACTTCTTAAAAAATGAGAGTCCACTCCGAAGATATTTACGAGATTTTCCTGCGATAGGTTCCCATATGTAGTTTCACGTATTATAGGATACTTGGCGACACAAAATGTATATCCTATAGACCTGATCGAACGCATCATGGCGCCCGAATATTTAAGCATGGCGTGCAATCGCAATTACCGTGATCTCTCGCGTGAATACTGCGTGCTGGACTACGGTCTGCGAGTGGAAGTGCCCGAGTACACTGGCCCATTTCTTAAGCCCAGTATATCTATTTTCCTAGAGAAGGTACGCAAAGGGATCGATCGCTTACAATCGAATTGTTTGTCGCGTGTCGCATAAGTCCGAGGAAAAACAATGTGTATTAATGAATTTTGTAATATATAGAAATATTACCAATTGGCCGAGAAGACCGGTTGGTCGGAATCGACTCGGGCGAATATGCTGTTTAAGGACGTGCTGGAAACGTGTCAGGTATATACATTGTAATTGTCGCATAAAGTGTAATCTTTTTTTTCTTTACGTGCATATTCTCTCATAAGGTTTTCTAACGCCAACAGAAGCTGTTCAACACCACGTCGGACATATCGGTTGCTCGTCCGTTACCGCACTTTACGATACAGGACATTGTCTTGTGCCTAAACGAGCAAAACCAGCTTATGCCGTCGGAAAAGTTCTTGTCGCAGTTTCATTCGAGTGACATTAAACGTGTGGACAAGGAAAATTCGAATAACGTGAGGTGGATTGCCCTTGTCATGGGTCATTTCGGATTATCATTAAGAAGTAGTAACGCACCTACTGGACCCTTGGCGGCAAAAATAAGACAATTAGCCTTAATTGGTTACACGCCTATCTTGGTAAGTTTCGCGGAAAATGGACTTATCGATCTATATCAAGAACGGTAACGCGAAAATACAAAGTGTTTATCATTTTCTGAGCATTAAGCTAAGACTCCACAGATGCGTTGAGCTGCGGCAACGCGAGTCGAACAATCAGAGGCTTGTCGCAAGCTTCCTGCGATGAAATTGAAATCTTTTGATTCGTTGCCGCAGTTCAACGCGTTTGTGGAGTCTTAGCTTTAAGCCTCGTCTACAATAGTCGCACAGGTTGTGTCGCATGTCGTAAGAGTGTCGCTGAACGAGTGTCTACAATAGTCGCAAAGATTCGCGATAGCGTCAAATCGATCGCAGCCACAATGGATGCCCGGCGATTATTAATCTTTCTACAACTTTGCTCCCAATTTTTTAATTGATTGCCTTTACATTGCCGTTTGCTCATATTTTCTACGTTCGCATTAATACAAAACATTAATAAGAAAATTCACTATGGATCAGCTAGCTGCTAGCAACACAAGGTAAATCACTTTTAGCACCAACGTAATATGATTGGCTGATCTCATGCGACACGCTTGTCGCAGTCGCAGAAAGTTCAAGTTGGTTCAACTCCGTGCGACAGGGGCTTCTGCGATTGCGACAGCCTTACGACCGGAAATAATATACTTACGACATGCGACACAGCCTGTGCGACTATTGTAGACGAGGCTTTAGAGATAAGTTTCAAGCTAAAAATTAATTTTACGTTAATTAAATTCTTATAAGTAAATCGATCGATGATAATGATTTAAGTTATTATACACGTGCAGTGATATGTCATTTGGCTAACCGTAGTCTGCGTTGACATTAAAAAAATGTTCTGATATTTTTAATTTGAATAACTTGAATACATTGTGTTAATTATGACAGTAACGTAAGAAAGTTTTAATTCTTGCAGATACCATATGCCACTTGGAATAAATTCAAATTACCGCAGGAGAAACGTCATTACATAAAAAAGCTTGTGTTTCAAGATCGTACATCAAAACTGTCTAGTACTAGACAATAACGTGCGAAACATGTCACAGAACATCTTGTACATCTCTTATTAGGAATAATATCTCTCATAATATAAACTATTTCTCGTATTGCATTATTGTCGCATTAGCGTATATACATCTCTTATTTACAGATATAAGGACATTGAGTTTGCGCGACACATGATTTTACGCATCGTGCCGAAAAATGCTTTTGCGTACAGGATATTCGTGGGACATCAGGTCACGTGAGACGACGGAAATGTTGAAACTGAGTTTAGAAATAATTGTGCATAAGTGTCTTGGTGTATTCGACGGTAACGAACAGTGTCGCGGTCGCTGGTACCGTTCTGATTAGAGTCGGCGTCAATCCGTTGTACAACGCGCCGATGCCTTCTTGCCGCACGATATCGTTGAAAACTATCAAGGCGGGCGTTTTCAAGTTCTGCACCTGGTTGCAAACAAAACAGACATTTCGCTGGAGGCGAGAAATATTGAGAAATATACGCGTCTTTTTAGCTTGATTGCGACGTGTCACCCATTCAGTTGCGAAGACGTACCTGTATTCTACTCTTGACAACGTCGGCTGGATATATCGCCAGCCAGAGCATCGCGCCACCGACCGCGCCAGCCACCATTGTCTTTTGCCAGCCGATGTCTTGCCTACTCTGACCCTTCGCGGCTAGCAATTCCCTCGTGCCCTCGTAGCCGCCGAAGAAGAAGAAATAGCCCGGCATTTCGCGGGCTATCGTCGACGAGAGACCTGTAAACATGCCTCTTACACCTTGCTCCCTAAGAATCTGCCTCGTTAAATTCCACGGTCCTATATGAAGTTTCTGAAGAATAATGATAACGGTGTCACTCAGAAATTGCCATCTCGATATATTTAAAACAATGTTTATCGGCTTACTTACCGTTGATTTTCTCGTGGCAGTTGTGGCTTGCGTCTGTTCAACCTCCCTCATAGCCTGCAGCTTGCACTTTATCAACTCCGTTGGGCACAGCGTCAGCGAGGAAAAGAACGCCGCAAAGAAGCCGGCCCAGGCATTGCTGAAGGAACTGAGCTGTTTTACGTCCTGCACACCTGTCGAAAAAAAAAGAGAAAGGAAGATTAAATAGGTTCAAAAATAACTCTTGTAACAAGCTTTAGGTAACAGGAGGAAAGTCCCCTATTGTGAAATAGGATCCTAATACGGGATAGCGGAGTTTCTGTTACATTAATAGGCATCATCAGTTGATTCCACCGTGAATTTACTACCCTTGGAGCGAAATCTGTTTAGTGGACAATTCATCGTTAGATTGTGTAATCGTTGCGAGAAAAGATTTGTAATTGAATTTGGGTGTTGAAAACCTGCTATCTCATATTAGAGGACTTTCCTCTAGTCTTTTTCATAAATTTATAATTAATTATACCATCATGGTTCGCGATTTACCTGATAAATGAGCGATTGCTTTCTGACATCCACCGTATGCGGCGAACAACACCGAGTTCTCTGCTACATTTGCGACTACCGCTGGGATCGTTCCGGCGTACAAGCCCCTCGCAATACCGTCTGTTCGCAACGTACGCAGAAAACAATTTACCATGCCTTTGTACATGGACGGGAAGGTCTGCATCTTTACCTTTACCGTGTCCAACGGCTGGCCGACGTAGACGAGCGCTACACCGCCTATTGGATAGAAATAGAATAATCTGTTTGCTACATGAAAATATGTCTCGTAATGCCTCCAAGTCTTGCGAAAAATTGTTACTCTACAACATCACTGACACAATTAACGACAAGTGATCTTTATCTGAGATATTTTTTCATATTTTTAATACAGTTAAATAATTATCGTAAAGTCCAGTAAGTCATCATTCTAAACATGTTTACATAAATACCAGATAATTAACATTGTGATATGAAATTTTTGTAAGATTTTATCACTCTCTGCCAATAAGTTGAGCATTTCTTGACAACGTGGACGAAAAACGAGTATGAAACGTCGCTATTTTCTTGAAGAGAGATTGCGACAGTTTGCGAGCACCCAGTCGCGTAAAGATATCAGATACATAATTTGTTAATGTACAGCATAGTTTTCAATCTTGGGACGTGTAAGAACGCGTGCCAGTTAGAGTCACTTATTGTTAGTTGAGTTTATCAAAGTCGAGTATTTACGTGAAAGATAACGTTACGGGATACTGACACTATCGTTATCTTCCCATCGAGTACAGATAAACGTATATATTATTTATCTAAATATTAGAATATACAATTTTACAAGCAGATAAACGGCGTTTGACAAGTGTTACGGTGACAAGTGCAAGTTGCAGCCAGACGATTTATTTCAGTAATAATTCAAGTTTTATACATTTATTAATATTGAAGATATTAATTTAAATTTTAGATAGACGATGCTTCCTCCGAAGATTTAAGTCAGGAAACGTTTCTGTTCTCTTTATATAATTTTCTATCTTTACGACTTTTGTAATTCTATGGTATCTGTACACTGAGAAAAAAAAGTGTTGAATTAAGAAATATTTTTTTATATTTCAACTAAAGAAATACTGCCGACTAACTGTATTTAGTCATTTCGATAACTTTTTTTTCTCAAAGCAGGTAGTATCTCTTCTCTTTTTTTTTAAGATCCCGCTTCCTTCCTCTCGACCTTAGAAATGTTTTATCGCGAACGCCGCGAGAGGAAAATTAATCTCTGCGAAACGTGACGCACTTTCCGCGTGCGCGCGAGTAAACTCCGATTAATTTAATCGACGATCGACTTATCGGCTTGTACCATTTTGTTACTGTCAATGAGACAATCGATCTCTTGTTGTTAAACACGCGGAGAAGCAGATCAGGGGTGACTTGGTCCAAACCTTCTGATTGACCGTATTAATTCGACCAGAATTGCCCGCAGCAAAATTTTCACTTATTAAATTCGTTATTCTAAATCCTTTTCTTTACGAAACAAATATGAAAGAACTTGTAATTTAATTCGCGTCAACATAGTGGCACTATTCGACTATTAAGTTAATTGCTGATTAAGCAAATCGAAGCTTGATCGCTTCGAATTAGGGAATTAAAGAATTATGTCAATTTCTATCAATGGAGATTAACTCTTTTTCACGACCAAATTATTTTGTATTGATTTAATGTCTCCTCGGTACTAGAACATGTTGCATTGGATCTTGTTAAATTTTCTAAGTGAGACCCGTGTTCCAAGAGTAAAGTTAATCCCGAAAGGATTAATTCTATCCTTTTCTAATTCTCAGATCTAGAAAAAGATAAAAAGTAAGTTAAACCGAGAGTAAAGGTAATCTATATTGGTGGCAATGAACATTGTGAGTGCAGTTGGAAATTTTGTAGCAAGTGGTTCTGCCAGACGAATTGATCGGGATTTGGTCCAAGTCTCGCACGGTAGATTCTGGAGTAAATGTAGACATCGGGCACCCGGGGACGTTTACCGAGCGAACCGGCCACGAAATTGATCACGCCGTCCTTGATGTTTCCGCGACTGTTTCCCGTCGGCACGTGGGCCATTTCCGCACCGATCGGCTCGGCGACGCTGCCCGTCGTCATCGTGGTCGTCGTGCGGAGGAAAAAAAAAAGAGATTCCTTCGGTGCGGCCACGTGCTCTCGTCTCGATCGGCAAAACAGGCGCGCCAGCCAGCCACGCGTGACGAGCGATCACGAGCGATACTGGCGATTGAGCGTCTCGCAAAGCAGTATATATGTATACTATGTGCCTGGAAAGAAGCTGATATCGCCGGCCTGTCGTGTCGTTCACGTTTTGACATCAACGAGCAGGCTCGGCTCGTGAAATCGTCAGACCCTTCGGAAATTCCTCAAGGAGGAGAAAATTTCTATTACATCTCGCATTTGGTTTTTATTCTTGCGACAAGAGGGAGGGGGGGAATTTCTTCGCCTTTACGTTTCAATGTAGACAAAAAAATAAGCGGAGTGCACAATATTGGGAAGTAATGTATAAATCCAGTATTCCCAATATTGGTCCAATATTATAAGATGGACGCCTTCTCTTATTTAGTCAATATGTCTAATAATATTAGTTTAACATTGTATCAATATTAGGCCAATATTCTTATTACATTCCCGAGAAAAAATGAAAATATCTCACTATATGTATATGTCACAATTATGTATGTATCTAATTATAACGACATATGATTAAGGCCAAGTTTAATAAGCTTTTCGTTTAACAAGATATTAAAATTATTTTACTGATGAAGAATATATGATTACATTTGGACTCTGGGATTGCGATATCTAATTGTATTTAATTCTAAAATCATCAGATCTTCAGAGATCTGACTCTTTCATTGAATACTCAATGTTATTATCTATTGAGATCTAATTAGGTTCTCTGAAGCCCGTATTAAACTTATACAGACTCCCGATTACGATTGAACCAATCACAGCAAAGCACTGGCCGACTCGGGAATAGACGCCACTCTAATTGGTTGAATCATAGTCGGGAGTCCGAGTCAGTGGTCGAGTCAGGGCGTTTCACAAACGTTGGTTAACTGCTAACCAAAGGTTAATTGATCTGCTGTCTCTTCTTAAATAATAAGATGAAAAAAGATAGGTAGTCGACTGAACCCTAGTTAACAGTTAACCGATGTTTGTGAAATGCCCTCAGAGTCGGGAGTCTGTAGTCTGATACGGGTTTTAAGGCCTGTGCCCACGATGCTAGAACTTGATCCAAGTTCTAGTTCCGAGAAATGTATGGCCAATCAACTTGCAGCTATTCCATAAAAGCTGCAAGTTGATTGGTTACACATTTCTCGGAACTAGAAGTTGGACGCAGTTCTAGTAACGTGGACACATGCCTTTAGAGCCAACGGCACACGATACTATTTTTCCTACTGGATTGCTTACGAGAGCCAATCAGGGTTTAGCCTCAAGTCACCTGATTTAAAACTCCACATCCTGATTGGCTCTTGTAAAGCCTTGTGTCCACGATTCAAGAACTGTATCCAAGTTCTAGTTCTGAGAAATGCGTAGCCAATCACCTTGCAGCTTTTATGGAATAGCTGCACGTTGATTGGCTACACGTTTCTCGAAACTAGAACTTGGACCAAGTTCTAGCATCGTGGACATTGGCCTTTAAGCAATCCGTGCTTTCCAGCAAGCGACACAAGTCGACACAAGTGTCGTTCTGTCTTTATTATTCATTGAATGCGAAGAAAGACAGAACGACATTTGTGTCGACTTGTGTCGCTTGCTGGAAAGCACGGAATGTCTATGGCGCTGGGTTACGAGAAGGCACGAGAGAGAGAGAACGGCCGCCCGGATACGCGGTCGGTCGCCATGGAGACGACGAAAGCGCAGGGTCGCACTCGGCGATCGTCAAAGTCCCTAAACGAACGTAACGGCCCCGAGTCCCTAGACTGTCGAGCGACGCGGACGATTGTCGTGGCCGTCAGCGGAATCCCGACGATCCGCGATCGCGTTTCATGCGGAGACGGTGTACCCGCGAGCTATCGGATTCGCGTAACGGCGAGCGTCGCGACGCGTAAAGAGAAAAGGAGACAAAGGAGATCGCACCGAGGCGACCCGCGGGCAGTTCCGGGTAGCGGAAAGACGCGCGGGGCCCCGACGACAGGCACGACGTCGCGACGGCATCCCAAAACATGAATTTGCTCCGTGGCCGCGACTGATACCCGACCTATCTCTCTGTTTCTCCTACTTTGCTCTGCTTCTATTTTTCTCTCTCTCTCTCTCTCTCTCTCGTCTCGCACGAGGAAGCGGAAGCGGAGTCGACAGCGCGTCGCCGGAGACGCGGGGCCGACGGCTCCGTCGCCATCGTTGGGGGTGGTCGTCGTCGTCGCCGTCGCCGCACGTATATACGTACGTACGAGAGTGGGCACCGTGCGAACGCACGTTCACGTTGCGTACGCACACGCCACGGGCCACACAGGGTAGAGGGAAAGTGCGCGCCGTCGGGTCGCGTCGCGTCGCATCGCACCTCATCTCATCTCTCATCGCATCGCATCGCGTCGCACTGTGCCGTGCTGTGCCGTGGCGATCCTCCCGAGCCTCGTTCGGATACTGTCCAGCCATGATAGCTACCGCGAGCGCGTCTCCGCCGCGACGCGAGAGGCACGTCGCCGCGCCGCTCTAGCTTTAGGGGCCCGACCGACCGCAAGATGCGAGAGGTCCGTTCTCGGGAGAGCATCCTCGCGGTAAGTAAAGTAAAACGCGACGTCGTCGCCGCCGACCGACGGCCACCCCGTGCGTCCTGAGAAAAAAAAAAGAACATCGCACGGCCCGTACGCCTGGCCTCCTCTCCTCCTCCTGCCCCCCCCGCCCCGCTATAGTTCGGTGTTCTCGCGTACGGCGCTCCGCCGCGCTCGCCGTTGTCCTCGAACGACGGCGAACACCGCGACGTGCCGTCCTCCTCCGAGAGGGAGAGGACCGTTATGTCGACGCGCGCCTATAGGTCCGCCTATAGGCCGCCGCCGTTGCCGTGTCGTCCCGGTCGATACGAAGGGACCCGACGAGCCTCGTCTCGTCCGTGGCGCTGACTTCCGAGGGGGGGACAACCCCGTTGCTTCCGAGGCGACGACGCCGCCGCCGACGGGGATCGCTCGGTCGCCCCCTCCCTCCTCTCTCTCTCTCTCTCTCTGTCTCTGTCTCTCTCTCTCCCGACGGCGGAGTTTCGGTGGGCTTGGTTCGCCCCTCCGGAACTCACTCAGGTTCAGGGTCAGGTTCAGGCCCTCGGTGGTGCGCGAGGGTGGCCCTCGCCTTCCGTCGCCGAAGGCGAAGGCGACGTGGACGCGGCGGCGGCGGCGGCGGCGTCGCGAAGGGAGTCGGGCGTGTGCGTTTAAAGGGCGGAGGGGGCAGCGGGAGGGGGGGGGGGGTACAGGGTCGCTCGAGCCGTACGGTGTTTTTGACACCTGAGTAACAGCTGAGTAGGCTACGGTCGGAGACGGGCGCGATGTTGTGGGGCGGTGTTGCGGACCGCGACGTCCCTTCGAGAGACGTCGCTGGATCTACCTGGAACCGGACGATGCCGCGCGTCCGTGTGGCATAGCGTTTTGGAACTCGGTCCTCGCTCTCGCGCACCTGCGGGAGGTCGCTCCGTAGGTTTACAATGGTGTTCCGCCGATTGGTCGGCTCGCCCGCTCGGGACAATAGCGACGCAACGTGCACCACCAGGCCCTAATAGAGTCCGATCCGGGGTACATTAACCTCTCCAATACGTTAAAGACACGTTAAGGTTGCGTCGAGGGTTGCGTTAACCTAAATCCGTTTGGGAAAATCTGTTGACGCGGACCGATGGGGTGACGGGGGAAAGAATCGAGGAGGCGCCCTCTTCTCCTCCTGCTCGCCGCACTCCGTTTCATTGTCTCCTGTTTCCAGTGAAAGTCAGCGTCGCAGAATGGTGGTGGACTACTGCTTGTCGATTCAGGCCTCAGCAACTGCAGTGAGAAAGCAGGAGCGAAGGTTAGGTGGCACAGTGGGTGCAAAGATGCAACCCAACAGTGGTGGAGGATGTGGAATGACACCCAAAGAGCTCTCCGACAATGACGACCTGGCTACGTCCCTCGTGCTGGATCCCTACCTAGGATTTACCACCCACAAGATGAACATCAGGTACCATTACTCCGCCGAATCCAGCTTGCGACGCTTGCGAGCTGTCTGCGCGAGTCGTTTGCTAAGGTTCATATTCCGTCCGGCAGGTACAGGCCGTTGAAGGCGAACAAGGAGGAGCTCCGAAAGATCATTTGCGAATTTATTCAAACTCAAAATTACGAGAAGGCGTACAAGAAGTTGATGGGCGGAGACTGGGGCGCACGGCTACCCCATACAAAGTCCAAGCAGCAGCAAATTAATCTGGAGAATCACGTGAGTTGTAGGATGCAGGCCGCTCTCGCGTCAAATCGTGTTATTTCGGCACAAAGTTGAGTCTTCGATACAAGCGATAAGTCGTATGTGCAAGTGCGACGGTTGGCTTTTACAGATCAAACGATACTTGCGAGTCTTCGACAAGGACTCCGGCTTCGCCATAGAGCCGTGCTACAGATACAGCCTGGAGGGACAAAAGGGTGCCAAGATATGCGCCACCCGCAAATGGATGAAGCATGACAAAATTTCCTGCCTCGTCGGTTGCATAGCGGAGCTTAGCGAAAAGGTTTGAGCTCTGCAAAGTGTATGAAAATTCGATTGAGCGATTTTTCTCTTGGTATCTCCTTTGTCTCCATTTCGTGCACTTATATCTGTCCATGTGCTTTTAGGAGGAAGCTGCGTTACTGCATCCCGGGAAAAATGACTTCTCTGTGATGTTTAGTTGTCGAAAGAACTGCGCCCAATTATGGCTGGGACCAGCCGCGTACATAAACCATGACTGTAGAGCGAACTGCAAGGTAAGCGAGGAACGCTCGTGGACGAAACTCGGGCGCGATTGCGCAAGAAGCGTTATGTAAACGCGAGTGTATTACTTTCGCAGTTTGTGGCGACGGGGAGAGACACCGCATGTGTCAAGGTGCTGCGTGACATCGAGGTGGGCGAGGAGATCACGTGTTTCTACGGGGAGGATTTCTTCGGCGACAGCAACTGTTACTGCGAGTGCGAGACATGCGAGAGGCGAGGGACCGGCGCTTTCGCGAGCCAGAAACCGGGCGAGGAAATGTCGTCCGGTACGCTACGCGCGACAATATTGCACAGGACAAAGGCCGTTCTCGTCAGCCTAGTCTCTAATCTGTTTTTTTTCCCTTTATCTATTTCCGTAGGTTATCGTTTGAGGGAGACGGACAACCGAATCAATCGAACGAAACACCGGCAGCAGCCACTGAACAGGAACAAACAGCAAGTCGATACCGCTCTCACCGAACGAAACGCGGTTCTGGTCGGAAATACGGCGGTCGCGCCGCAATCCCTCAGCATAAAGGAGCTGCGACGCAAGGGGCTGACAAAGTACGACGCCGAGCTACTGATCGCGCAAGGCTGCCGATTCTCGGATATCAATCAGCAGCAGCCGGCAATCAGCAACGGCGAGAATATGTTGCAAACGCGTCCGCATCCCTCTGCGATCGCGACTTCCGTCACGAGGAGTCTCCGTAACAAACAGCTGTGCAAGTTTGACGGGAGCACCGGTGACGGAAGTGCTATCAAGAATACTCAATCGCTCAGAGCGTCCAGGTAGCTTATTAGGCTCCCTTTTGCGCGGTTAAATGTGTACTTCTGTTACTTTAATTTAAAATTAATTGTCAATTTTGATTTCTCGTAGACTTCACAAGAGAACGGAGTCGAAAAAGGGGAAAGTCGGTGTGAAATCCGCAGCGCCCTGTCTCAGTAATCCCGCTGTGAAAGACACGGAAGTGGCGGACATCGGTCATCGAAAGGAGGATTCCGATAGGGTGCCGGTACACAAGGAGAATCTGTATTCGCGACTACCGAAGCACCATCTGCCACACGCGTCGGAGATGGACGACGGTTTCTGCGTGGAGCAGCTACAACAGCGTGCCGTGGCGGAGGAATCAAACGAAGACGCCTGTTCGCTGCGACTGACCGAGGTAGAAGACACAGGTGAATCGAACGGCGATGGCGACTCTGTGGAGGACGAGCGGGGAATACCGGATCTCATCGCGGAAGTCGATCCTGAGACGCAATATAACATTAATTCTTCCAGTTACAAAAAGGGATATTATAGTACAAACGCCTGTGATTCAATCCGATTAAGTTCCACGTCTCAATCCCACCTTCAACAGCGTTTACATATCGCGGAATCGATTCCCGAGGATATGAACTGTCGCTCGAGAGACTACCATCATTCGTCACCCCTACGGCACAAGGGAGACGAGAACGAGCCTTGTGGCGCGGACGAGCAGGCGAATTACGTTAACAAACGCTCCAAGGCTCATAGCAATCAACTTTCCTCGATGGACGAGCACGAAGATCGCAAGACGCCGAACGAGGAGTCACCTTGCGAGTTTGAAGACGATGATTCGCCGCCGCCGCCGATCGAAGAAAAGAACATGCTGCAGGCTGATTTCCGAGAGAATGACATGTTACACGAGACGAGCTCCCGGTCAGATGACGAATGTTGCGCTTTAAACTCTGCGAAAGTAATCGTGGTGCAGAAATACGACGTGGAGAAAGAAGTGGAAAGTGAAGGTTGCGAGAGTCCGATCACCGTCGACGCGTCGGCGGCGAGTCACTCGGACAGTGTCGAATTTTGTGGATTGAACTCTGAGGGAGTCGTAGAAGCAGAAGTTAACACCGAGAGCGTTTTAAAATGTTACAGCACTATAGTTTCAAATCGGGAGGAAGAGGAGGGCATCGTGACGAAAAGTGATGCGTACGTCGCGAGCGTCGAGCCTGGCATCAGACCCGAAATGGCGACGTTATGCGCGACGGAGACGGACTCCATAATAAATATTACGGAGGGAAATAATGCGACGGTTTTTAGCAACGTACAGATTACGAACTATAATAGCGATTTAGCCGGCCATACGAATTTAGAGGACAATCGCGATCCTGCGTTGAAGAGATCGACATCCAGGCGGAAAGATCACGCTTTAGACGCGTCCTCGAAGCTGGCTCGCAAGTTGCAGAAAAGACTTTCGAGCGCCAAGTCCAAGTTCGGGATTTTAACGGAGAGTCAGCAGGACAACTCCAAGAGTAAGAGCAAGAGCAAGAACAAATCTACCAAAAGCCAGAGGAGGGATCGACAGAGATCGGCGACGGCCGAGATAGGGGAGGCCGACGATGATTCGGGCATCCAGGGCGATATTTACGAGTTTAGCGAAAAGGAGAGCAACCTGGAAGATATCGGCATACTATCCATAATAAGACGCGGCAAGCACGAGTCACGTCATGCGTCCTCCTCTTTGATAGCAGTGTCACCTGTACAGGAAATGCAGTGCAGTGACGAGTACAATAAAACGGAGCCACCGGTGTTGGTTCGAGAGGAACCGTGGCCTCCGACCGTGGCGCAAAGCCAACACGGCGCAGAATCCAATAGTGTTCAATCAAGAGGAAACTATAACGTTGCGGGGAGCTTGGAACGGTAAATATGCAATGAATGTGTTGCACAGAGTTATGTCTCTATCATTGAAAATACAAGCGTGAATTAATATTCCGCGAGCTAACGTTTTGTAAAATCACTTTATAAAATTTTCTTCTCTAAGTCAGAGGAATCTTCTTTCAGATTGACAGCCTATGAGAACAATGGTAGCGCGCGAAAATCAAGCACAATCCCGTCCGAGTGCCAATGGCGAACGAGCAATCCGAGCGATTGCCGAGTTTGTCCTGTCACGCCGGAGAGGACCGGCGGTCGGCTGAAGCTGACGTTGCGCATGAAGCGGTCGCCCGTGCTGGACGACATCGTCGAGTCCGGCACCAGTGGTCTGAGCGAGGACAGTTACGAGCCGGAGTACGAGGTGCTGCGCGTCGAGGGGCTGGAGAGGCGCAAACGCCGGAAGAAGCACAAGAGCAGGGACCGTGAGAGACGGCACAAGAAGTCGCGCGAATTGAATCTCGATCCGCCGCCGCCGCCCATGAAAAGATTACGCTTGATCCTCGGCAACGAGACACGCACCATCGATCTAACGCATTCTTAACAGCTATAATTCCACCTGCCTCCTCCTCCCCTCCTGCTCCCTCGACTTATCCCCCCCCCCCCCGTCGCTCTCCACCGTCATGACGCGCGTGTAATATCGATTTCATTACAATATATATAGACTATCTTTTTAAACATAATTAAAAACGAAAGATCATCCAGGAAGCTAAGCCTCCTCGTCCTACGACATGTGACAGCAAGTTCGTACCGAACTTGAAGATACTTTTCGATTAAACTTGATTTAGTGATAGAACTAGCATCGCTACATTTCCTCCCTATCTTTCTCATTCTCTCTTTCATCTCTCTGTCTCTTACTCTCTTATAGTCCACGTTATTTAAATCTTTTAGCGGTATATGTCTTATTCTTATAACAACAACGAATCTCTGAGGGCCTATCGAGATATCGTAAGCGAGAAAACGCATAGGTGGAAGAGGTTTTAGGTCGCGCACGTACATATTTCTCCCGTGTAGAGTTAAACCGCGTACAAATCAGAACCGTAGTACGTGAATACTTATCCAAGCAGTTCCATAGATTAATAAAGTGCTCTAGCGTACTAAAGAGATAATTCCATTTAACAATTTAATTAGAGCCAAATCGAGCATATTATTTTTTTTTGCGAAATTTTTACTATCATTAGTAAAGGATATTGGATTGCATTTCCGAAGAATCTTTATTTCTTTTACTCTGGCTAATTGTTTCGCAACAAATTATACCGTATACGCAATAGATTGTACCGATCTCGTACCTTGTGAGATAAGCATAGTCGAATTAAATCTTAGAAATTGTATCTCTCCTTGTGAAATAGTTTCGTAAAGAAATTCATTTTATTGCTGCTTTCCATGATACTCCGGAATGGAGAAGGACGAAGGAGGAGGATCCTTATATTATGTATAATAATAATTATCTAACTGATTAAAAGGAAATTTAGCTAAATATTAGTTAGCACTTATAATCGCTATTCTCGAACGAAGGGTCAAAAAAATATCATGTGGAAAACCTTGTAAATATTGCTTATATATATATATAAGAATATATATATATTCTGTATTTCGGTGTATTACAATGTCTTTCGATGCAGGTTGCAGGCATCGCATTGCATATACCATTGTATACGGACTACACCGATCACACGATACTGTAGTAACGAAATATTATAAGAGAGTTTCATTCGCGGCAACGTTTTCGTCATACTACGCGCCGTTAGAATCGGAATGTTCGCAATGTAAATGAGGGGACGAAACGCGCCCTTGCGCATAAGAGATCTACCTGTTCCATTGTCGCTTCTGTTCGTGGATGAAAGTGTGACACGTGAGGACTGGAAAAGCAAAACTTGCTTTACTCAAAATTTTTCGATATTAAATCAGAGTGCAATTTTATTCTGTAGCAGATAAATAAATTTTTTTTGTAATTTAATTACGAAAATAAAATGCAGAATGCGAGGTTTGCAAGTTGGAAAAAAAGCAATATTGTTATTTTAAAAGTATTAGATTAGTCTTTTTAGATGATAATTGAATCGAGATTGATACTTGTTTTTGAACAGAATTACAAAGCAATATTACTTCATTTCCAATCATGGTGTTCAGTTTCTCACGTTGTTAAGCACTTATTGTAGAAATTTTTGAAATTTTCAAAATCTAAAATGTGATATCGCATAAATTCGGGAGAAGTTCCGTGATGAAGTAAAAGTTATGCGACGCATACGCAACATTTGTTCATTGTACGCTAAGATTTCGTTAAAATTTCTTCGATTTTATTTGATGAATGGGCCGTTACTGTCCAATGCCGTTAATATCCAATACTGACCATATGATGTTTTTAATATCCGAATTATACGCGATTTGATGTTTTTAATATGCAAATTACGCGATTAATAACAAAATAAAAAATTCTTACGTACCGAGCGAGCTATAGAGAATCACAAGAAACGACTTTGCATTATGTCATATATAACAATGAAAAGTTTATGTTGCAAGAGATGCAATAGAATATAGATTATGCAGTTTATTTTTTTTTTCTAAAGAAAACTGCTCGTGTACCCTAAGCTACTAGAATTACAGGACAATTATTCATACATTGATTATTTATTGCACATTTAATGATAACAGATTAATTAAAGGAAGGTATGATGAAAATGTGTGGTAATTAAATTAATTTTAATTAATATTAGCCATCTAAATTATTGCTTTCTTAATTAAAGTTTACTATTTCATCAAATTTCTGAATACAATCCTCACCGAATTGAGCCCTGTTTTCCTTGCATAGGAAAAAGGTATTATAGTTGTGATATTTTTCCTACAAGAAATTATAATTGTACTTTTTTGCATGTTATATAGATATATCGGGAAAATAAATTCTGAAAAAGAAAAGATAAATTCATATGTCGCGTTTTTTAAATAGATAGCATACGGAATTGATTGCGGCATTAATTGATAGCTTGTGCAGCTTCCGAATTTAATTCTGGCATATAAAAAGAAAATTTGGCTGAAAAATATCGTGGAGCATTAACTGATAGTAGCCGATAAGAATATTAATTACCAACAAGAGGAGATATCGGTGCATTCAATTAATTAATAATTAGTATACGATTGATTATTCGTAACCAAAATTGGTCAATTTAATGGCAAAATAGAAAGATATGTGTTCACCCTGAACTTTCTGATCGATTGAAAAAGTCATTTGTATTATATGCAATTCCTGTCGCATTAAAATTAAAGAGAATTAGCTCCTATTTTTAATATCGTTTCAAAATCACTTGAAACTAAACAAGTCGAAGATATAGGTAACACGAATTCATAAATGAATATATGTAATTACTATACATATATGTAATTTATAAGCGCGATACAATTCGAGGACTGTTTGCCGGCGCAGCTTCACCATGTAATGATCTTTTGTCAACGTTGCGCGATCGTAGCGGCCCATTTCGAGACATTTCCTACGAGGTTACAAAAGAGAGAAGATTTCATACGATTTTACCCCTTCGCATGCGATTGTACGAGTTGTTACATAATCGACTCGTGGCGTCTTTTCAGAGGAAGAGGATGAAGGAGGAAAGGGAATGGACATCCCCCAGAAATACGATAGGGAAATCTCTCGAAGTGCATCTATTCGCAACAATAGTTTTATTTTTCCAATCAACAATGCCATTGTCTTTGTTTTCTTTACCCCTTTAGACCGTCGCACGCGACGCTTTCTCCTCCATGCGTTATCGGCAGAATTTTTGTCTCACTGCCATTAGAAGAACGATGTTAATTCGTACGTTTCGATTAATCGCTCACAAGAGTATGGAGTGTAAGATGAGTCATAAGTGGCATCCCCCGCGCTGCAAACGATCATTGTTATAGACGAATTTCGTGTACGAATCATTACGAAATGAGGAGGACGATATTTTGTGAGTCTCTCCTTCGAGAACCGCCCGGCGAAGAAGAAAAAAGAAAAAAGAGGAGACGAGTTTCTTTTTTCTCGTAGAAGACTCGCGACCGCGCGCGGCGCGTACATTGTAATTATATATATTACCTTATTTGTTGAGCGACAGATATATAGAAATGTACATTGTCATTATTATTTTCTACGGATTAAGGAACCATAATAAATAAATCGCATAAACGTAATTATATCTGTCTCAGTTCTTTTAGATTCTACCTTTTTCCTTTTCTTTCCGAAGAAAATGTTTGTAAAGCGCTTGTCTCTTTCACTGTAATTTACAGTGAACTTTAGTTTGAAATTCTCGGAATTTTTGAAAAATTATTTTTTTTAACTTTAGATAGTGCCCACCTCTTTGCCGATCATGTTCTCGTGATACTTTGTCAGTTTTCGAGATTCCCGATTTTCGCGATTTGAAGTTTAAAATTCTCAGATTTCCAATTTTTGGGATTTTAGATGGTGCCACCTCTTTACCGATCCTGTTCTTCTGATAATTTTCCAATTATTGAAAAATTCACAAAAGCGGTAATTATATATCGCCAGTAATTTAAAACCAAATTTCATAAGATTCAACGACCTACACTGGCCAAGTTTTTATTTAAAAACCAATTACAACGTTTCGGCCCCGGGTTTGGGCCAATTTGCGACTTCAGATCATTTGAAAAGGGCCCAAACCCGGAGCCGAAACGTTGTAATTGATTTTTAAATAAAAACTTGGCCAGTGTAGGTCGCTGAATCTTATGAAATATTGAAAAATTCCATGAAATTTTAGATTGTGCGTCTTCTTTATTATATTATATTCTTTAGTGTATTCTCCTAATACTTTATTATGTTTTCCTAATACTTTGTCGATTTTTCGAGATACTTGAGGAAATGTCTTACATTATTTCAGATTGTGAGTATCAGTCTAAGCAGATTATTTGGAGTAATCCGAAATTTATTACGAGTAGTAGAGTAGTCTGCAGAAAAGTCTATGCATATTGTACTCAAAGTAGCGCGCCAAGCATGTTTTCGTGTGCAAACAATTATTAATCGATACGTATATGTTTAATATGATAATGTAACTCATTGATAGGAGATCGGTGATGTGCAAGTATGAAATCTTACTACGGACTGAAAGAATATACATCTAAAAGCGATTCCGAATGAGACATTTTAAGGACAAGTCGAAACAATTTCAAAGGTCATAAATCGGATCCTAAGTTGTTTGAAAAATACAGGTGTCTTTCTAAAAGATCCACAAGATGCTTAGAAAATTTTTAAATACTTTCTAGACGACTTCCCGATGTCCTTATGTTTTCTTAAGAACGTTCTGACAGTAAATTTTCCTCAGAATTAGACTCGATGAATCGAGTCATCGATAAGTTTGACGCCACTTACACGGTGTGCGACTCATTTTATCGCCGCGTTTTATTAGTGGGCCAGAAGTGATAAATAACGTTTACCCAGGGGGATGCTAACAATGTGCCGTCATCTACTAAAATACACGCTCTCGCACGGCTTTCCGGAAAGTCGATACAGTTCGACTAACTTTTCCTCTATTATTGCGAAACGTGCGAGCGGCGAGGAGCCGACAGGACTCGTTCGCGGGAATTGACTGCTCATCAGATAGGCCAGATAGGGA